GTTAAGGGGCCATTACAGTTGGTGAAGCAGCAATGGGAGGGATTTACACCTTCTCCAGGAACTAACATTCTGGACTTTGTAACCAATCTACAAAACACCCTCCAAACCTCTTTAGCTCTTGCTAAAGAAAACTTACAGGATGCTCAAAAAGAGCAGAAAGTCTGGTATGATAAACATGCCAGAGAGCGTTCCTTCAAAGTAGGGGACCAGGTCATAGTCTTAAAGGTGCTCCAGGCCCATAAGATGGAAGCATGGTGGGAAGGGCCATTCACGGTCCAAGAGCGCCTGGGAGCTGTTAATTATCTCATAGCATTCCCCACTTCAAACCGAAAGCCTAAGGTGTACCATATTAATTCTCTAAAGCCCTTTTATTCCAGAGAATTAAAGGTTTGACAGTTTACAGCCCAGGGAGGAGATGACGCTGAGTGGCCTGAAGGTGTCTACTATGAAGGGAAAAGTGATGGTCGCAGAGAAGAGGTAAACCTCTCCATGACCCTTGGGCGTATGCAGTGACAGCAGATCAAGGAGCTGTGCACTAGCTAAGTGCTGACGTTCTCAGCCACCCCAGGACTGACTGAACGGGCATACCACTCCATTGACACAGGTAATGCTCGCCCAATTAAAGTCCAACTTTACCGGGTGTCTCCTCAAGCTAAAACTGCTATAGAACGGGAGATCCAAGATATGCTACAGATGGGTGTAATCTGCCCCTCTGGCAGTGCATGGACATCTCCAGTGGTTCTAGTTCCCAAACCAGATGGGGAAATACGTTTTTGCGTGGACTACCATAAGCTAAATGCTGTAACTCGCCCAGACAACTATCCAATGCCACGCACAGATGAACTATTGAAGAAACTGGGACGGGCCCAGTTCATCTCTACCTTGGACTTAACCAGGGAGTACTGGCAGGTACCACTAGATGAATCCGCCAAGGAAAGGTCAGCCTTCACCACACATGTCGGGCTGTATGAATTTAATGTGCTCCCTTTCGGGCTGTGGAATGCACCCGCCACCTTCTAAAGACTTGTAGATGGTCTCCTAGCAGGATTGGGAGACTATGCAGTCACCTACCTTGATGATATGGCCATATTTTTGGATTCCTGGGAAGAACACCTGGAACATCTACAAAAAGTCTTCAAGCGCATAAAGGAGGCAGGACTAACTGTTCAGGCTAAGAAGTGTCAAATAGGCCTAAACAGAGTGATTTACCTTGGACACCAGGTGGGTCAAGGAACTATCAACCCCCTACAGGCCAAAGTGGATGTTATCCAAAAGTGGCCTGTCCCAAAGTCAAAGAAACAGGTCCAATCCTTCTTAGGCTTGGCCGGATATTACAGGCGATTTCTACTGCAATACAGACAAATCCCCACCCCACTGACAGACCTAACCAAAAAGAAACAGCCAGATGACATTCAGTGGACAGAAGAGTGTCAGAAGGCCTTTAACCAGCTTAAAGTGACACTCATGTCTGACCCTATGTTAAGGGCCCCAGACTTTGACAAATCATTCCTAGCAACCACAGATGCGTCCAAGCGTGGTGTGGGAGCAGTTTTAATGCAGGAAGGACAGGATCAAGAATTCCATCCCGTAGTGTTTCTCAGCAAGAAGCTGTCTGAGAGGGAAAGCAACTGGTCAGTCAGTGAAAAAGATTGTTACGCCATTGTCTACGCTCTGGAAAAGCTACGCCCATACGTTTGGGGATGGCATTTCCACCTGCAAACCGACCATGCTGCCCTACAGTGGCTTCATACCGCCCCGAGAAATAACAAAAAACTTATTCAGTGGAGTTTAGCTCTCCAAGATTTTGATTTTGACATCCAACACATCTCAGGAGCTTCTAACAAAGTGGCTGATGCACTCTCCCATGAAAGTTTCCCAGAATCAACTGGTTAAAATCGTCCTTGAGATGTAGAAAATATTGTTAGTCTTTATACACTTGGTAGTATATTTAAAGGTGCATGTGTCTTATTAACTCTGTTTTCTCCTAGAGCTCCAGGAAGAAATCCCAGCCAGTGTTTCACCCTATCTGTGATTTGGGGGGTGTGTCATAAATATAAAGTGAAGGGTAACCACCTTTCTGTATACAGAACTATAAAATCCCTCCTGGCCAGAGGCAAAACCCTTTCACCTGTAAAGGGTTAAGAAGCTAAGATAACCTTGCTGGCACCTGACCAAAATGACCAATGAGGAGACAAGATACTTTCAAAGCTGGAGGGGGCGGGGAAACAAAGGGTCTGTCTGTCTGTGTGATGCTTTTGCCGGGAACAGATCAGAAATGCTCTTCAGAACTCCTCAGAACTTCTGTTAAGTTAGTAAGTAGTCTAGCTAGATATGCATTAAATTTTCTTTTGTTTAATGGCTGGTAAAATAGCTGTGCTGAATGGAATGTATATTGCTGGTTTTGTGTCTTTTTGTAACTTAAGGTTTTGCCTAGAGGGATTCTCTCTGTTTTGAATCTGATTACCCTGTAAGGTATTTTCCATCCTGATTTTACAGAGGTGATTCTTTTACTTTTTCTTTAATTAAAATTCTTCTTTTAAGAGCCTGATTGATTTTTCATTGTTCTTAAGATCCAAGGGTTTGGGTCTGTGTTCACCTATGCAAATTGGTGAGGATTTTTATCAAGCCTTCCTCAGAAAAGGGGGTGTAGGGCTTGGGGGAGGGTATTTTGGGGGGGAAGACGTCTCCAAATGGGCTCTTTCCCTGTTCTTTGTTTAACACGCCTGGTGGTGGCAGCATAGGGTTCAAGGACAAGGCAAACTTTGTACCTTGAGGAAGTTTTTAACCTAAGCTGGTAAGAAAAAGCTTAGGGGGTCTTTCATGCAGGGCCCCAGATCCGTACCCTGGAGTTCAGAGTGGGGAAGGAACCTTGACAGAAGGGATAGTTCCATCATCCCGTTAGCACTGCAGATTTGTTCCACCTTCACTAGAACATTGAGACATCAGGTCACCTCCTCTATCCCAACGAGAACAGGAGGTGGACACAGGGAGCATTCCTAGTGCCCTTTCTTGTGTGGAGGTGAGAGAAGGGAGGCAGGGATCTGAGAGGGGTGGCTCAGGCACTACTACTGCTTTTTCAGGATAGGAAGCAAAATGAGAAACTGAGTAGATGGAGACATGGCTTGTTTCAGAGGAGAGGGAGAAGAGCAGGCTCTGGGCCACTGCTACTTTCAGAATAGAGGCGGGAGAAACAGAAGTAAAAGGACCAGATGCAGAAGGAGGATTGGCTGGGGGCTGAGGGGATCTACAAATCCAGGAGAGGAGCAGAGATGGGCCACCCATAGCACAGAGGCCTGCAGACAGGTAGTGGGGCAGCATAAATTGATTTGGGGAAGGAGGGCAGCATTAGTTAGTTTGCAGGATTATCGTCTTGTGGGGGATTCATTGCTTTATCGGGGCAGAACGTATTTATTGAATGATGAGGAAAGGAGAGGAGAACAAGAGCTGGAGCCAGCTGATTGGATGTGGCTGCTTGAGATGGGGTTGAAAGAAGAGAGAGGGAGCTGAGAGAGGAAAAGGAGCATGTTACTCTGCTGGCCCAGGCTGGAAGCTGTGTGTGATGATGACAAGTAAGGAGGAGCTTCAGTCCCACCTGTTCTGGACCTGGACCTGTCAGGATGAGTGTGCGAGCAAGGGCAGTAGGAAGGAGTGGGAATGTCTGGGGCCCAGGAGTTAGGAGCACTGAGGCTATGGGGGTAAAAGTAGAGGAGTCAAAGAAGCAGATGGGAGGAAGATCCTGGCAGAGGGAAGGCATTTTGGTAAGGTGGGGCTGGTCTTTGTATTTTATCAACTGGTCACCTAGCAAGGGAAAGTACCTTATTTTCTCCCCTTCCTCCTTCCTGCTGTGTAGCTGTCCTTGGTTTTCACTTTGTAAGCCTGGTCATGCTAGGTCAGCACTCCTAGCTGGCTGTGCTGCTGTGGAAGCTCAAGTCTCTATGAGATAACTGAGTTAGGTAACCAGAGGTTAAAGCAGATCAAAGTGGGAGGGAGGTGCTCCACAATTCTGGTGGCTTTATGTCATCATAGAGGGTGACATGTGGTGAAATGACACCGTAGTGACTTGTGTGAGAGACAGGACATAGGGGTGATAAGGGAATAAATGTGCGTCAAAGGTGTCTATGTCCCCAAACAGGTGCCAAACAAAGTGAGTGTGAGCATGTAAATGTGGTGCTGTGGGAACAACCTGTGTGTGCCTTATCCTCTCCCCACCAACACACACCCCACTATGGAAAGCTCGGAGGGCAGAGAGACCTGACAGAGCCATTCTTTTTCTCCTTGATTCAGTCAAGGAGAGGGGAAGGGTTTCTCATTTTTCCTGGAGGGGAGGGAGAGTTTGAAGTAGCAAGGTCTGCCTCTTTCCCTTCCAGTCCCCTAGGGAGAACCAGCAGGGAGACATATCGTCCTGTAGAAAAAAATGCAGTAGAGGTAGCTAGGAGATTCCCAGCTTGGACTATTCTTCTCCTCTCAGCTATTGGTGCTGTTTCGCCTGCTGGTGGAAAGACCTGAAGCCTCATAAATTCCCCAGACAGGTACAGCTCCCCCTGTTGCTCCCGACTGAAATTCTGCTGCCTGATGTGTCATTTCCCCAGGCAGTGCAGAGGCAGAAGGAGGGGGACTCTATGAGGAGCTGAGTTCCCTCAACCTCTGGAGAGGGCATGGATGGGGAACACTTTGCTTTTAGAGGAACTAAGGCCTTCCCTCTGCCACGATCTTCCTTGCATCTGCTTCCCTGACTCCTCTATGCCTTCTCCCTCTCCCCTCCTCCCCACTGTAACCCTTTCTAACACCTTCGTACTGTGGTCCAGCCAAATTCATGATGTATTTTCAGGCTTGAAAGGTAAAGCAATCCCTTCTAAGAATATTTAATAAATTCATTCACTATTAAGCATTACTGTGAAACATACATTTGATACTGCCTGGAATAGATATTTACGGTGCTTTAAAATTAGTTTATAAATGGTCTTCATTATGAGTCATTTAATGAATTAGCAATGTCCTACCTGTTAGTGAGGCAAATAGGATAAAAGTGACTGGAATAAATTTCTGGAGGCTATCCATTGGAGCATTTTCTCCTGAAACCTAGGACAAAAAGGCATGCAGTTGTCATTGGATAGTTATCAAGAAGCTACACAACAGAATTGCTTAGGAAATGTTGCTGCTGGTTTTTATAGCGATCTAGCACAGGGGTAGGCAACCTATGGCATGCATGCCAAAGGCGGCACCCGAGCTGATTTTTCAGTGGCACTCACACTGCCCGGGTCCTGGCCACCGGTCTGGGGGGCTCTGCATTTTAATTTCATTTTAAATGAAGCTTCTTAAACGTTTTAGAAACCTTATTTACTTTACATACAACAATAGTTTAATTATATATTATAGACATAGAAAGAGACCTTCTAAAAACGTTAAAATGTATTACTGGCATGTGAAACCTTAAATTAGAGTGAATAAATGAAGACTCGGCACACCACTTCTGAAAGGTTGCCGACCCCTGCTCTAGCATTTAAACATTTGTCCCTTTGTGTCCTGTATTACACACGTGTTGAGACGATTAAAGGTGACAGTGAGACCCTTTAACGTAATGAAAATGGATCATGGGCAGCTGGGAGAAATAATTCTGACTTGTCTGCAATCAAATGTGTACTCGGAGTACATCGTCCATGCTGCTGGTACTATTCTGGCAGACTAAAGAACTCTGTGGTCACCCATATCCTCTCTAAAGTAATTGGACAGGGTTTAATTCATGACTGAGGCTACCCATGGGATGTGTTTAATCAGTACAGCTCCAGGCTCCCTCAGTACATTTCCACTCTGGCCAGCACCACACACTTTTAAAGCTATTCTGGCTAGCCCTGGGACCCTCAGCATAATGGGTTTTGTGGGAATAGTGCTCCTCTGCAACCCCTTCTGTGTGGGCTTTGTGCCCCTGAATGTCCTCTGCTAGAATCCACACTGGTTTCAAGCCCATTTTATTTCCTCACAGCAAAGCTTGGCAGAATTTGAGTTTAGGGGTTGGTTTTGTAATTTTGATGGCTAATATCAATGTTTATTTTTAATCATTTTTATTTGTATCAATTTAAACTTTCACAGTTGCACAAAGTTATGGGGTTTAAACATTTATTTTTATTTTTATCTATTTAAATGTTCAGAGTTGTGGGAAATTAGGGGGGTAACACAACAAGGAGGGGCAGACAATAATTATTTAATAACAGTAGACGTTGAGATTCAAAAAGTTAAAGCTTTATAACCATTACAACACAGCTGCCAGTATCAGCTGTCAAAATATACAAAGTAAAGATCCTTAAACCAACCTCTAATAAGTTCTCAAGCAGCATTTTTCTTACTTTGCCTGTTAGTAAATTTTGATTATTACCAATGGAAATATTTTTTTTCTTTGGTTTGTGTGTATCCGGTGAAATCAATGTTTATTGACATTTACCAAATAAAAATCTGTGGCTTCCTAGCCTACTCATAACACACCCATATTGGTTATGTTTCCAGAGAATTACTGACCAAGCAAACTACAATGAATCATGGTCAAAACATAATTTTCAAAAGTACTGATATTACTCTTATTACTGCACAATCCAGCTGCACACAAATCCTATTCACCTGTCAGTTATATATTAGTAGTTTTGTTTCCCTACAGGTACAATATCATCTACATTTCTTATTTTCCCAGCTCTGACAGGGCTGCAATATGGGTGATATTTGCATCTGTGCAGATAAGGTGTCACTTGGCACCCAAGGCGACTACACACCCCTATCTCTGCCCCTGCAGAGAACCAAGAGGAACTGGGAAAACATCACGGTACTTTACTTCCCCCTATAAAAACTGCCATTTTCTCTGTGCCCAACACAGCTCCTATTCAGTACTTTTATTCACACAGTTCAACAAGACTCTCAGCATGCTCTGTGTGGTGCCATTGATCCTGAGACTACTAGCTGCTGACGGAGAGAAACAACAGGACACATTGAGCTGTCTTTCCTGGTTTCTATTTGTGCGGTCACAACTAAAGAAGCTATCTGTACATTAGGGTGTGTCCTAATATTATTTTTCTGCCCTTTACTCAGGTCAGAAAAGACAAATACCCCCACTCCCAAAAGCAAACTTCTGCTGGCGTCCCAAAGAGAGCAGAGTTAAGGTTGTATGGATTGTCCTGTGTGAGAGTACCACCTTAGCACTGCATTTCCCAGGTCACTTCTACATGTGAGTCTGTGAGGCTCAGCTCACAGAGACATACTTATGCTAGCTCTCATCAAGCTAACCTACTAAAAATAGTAGCATAGCTGCAGTGGCACAGGCAAGCCACCTGAGCATAAACCCGTCCAGACCCCATGAGTACGTACTCAAGGCAGCTAGCCCATGCCACTACTTGCTGTTGCCCATGCTGCCACGGCTACACTACTATTTTTAGTATGCTAGCTCACTGAGAGCTAGTACAGGTATGTCTACTTGAGCTGGGAATCACACCCCAGCTCCAAGTAGAGACACTGCACAATCCCAGTTTCCTAATAGTTGTAGTTTGTTTTATTGTAACCCTAACATTTATAAGAAGTATGTGGGAGGGACCTAGATTGCCTGTCATGGCTTGCACACTTTTCACTTTAGGGAATTAAACTTGTGCATTCAGGAAGAGGAAGAGGATGAAAGGATACTGTTTTGTGGCCACAACCTTTACTCCCTGTAACAAACTTCTGTTGCCTTTAAATAGACCTTGCTTTGTGACACCTAGACCCTTACTCTGGAACCTGTACAAATTAATAGCACAGCGGTGACACTGTGGGTTCCCTATAAAAATGTTTTACTTCTTCTTGCTTTTAAAAGCAATACTACTAGGGTGACCAGATGTCCCGATTTTATAGGGACAGCCCCGATTTTTGAGTCTTTTTCTTATATAGGGTCCTATTACCCCCCACCCCCCATCTCGATTTTTGACATTTGCTGTCTGGTCCCCCTAAATACTACATGGGGAAAAAAGCTGGCATGACCATTTTATTTCTCTTGAACAAATCCAGTACCTTGCTATGTTACAGTAAGAGCCTGTATTTAAGGGTCTGTATTAATAACCAATAGGGACTTTGTGATTATAGCTGTGTGGAAAAGGCAAATTTCTGCCTCAGATGAATTTGTAGCACTTCCTAGGATCAAGACCCTTAAAGGAATGTGCAGAATGTATGTGGCTCCCTCCTGCACTGGAACTATTTGTGCTGTGGTTACTTCTTGCAAAACAGCTAGAACCCTGAACTCGCCCTGGCAGGTGAAATAAACAAACAACAGAAATGCCGTTTCAGTTCATTTAATTGCAATTTAAAGGCTAGTGTGTGTTTTTGTTAGTGATTCAAGGTCTTAGATAGATAGATAGATAGATAGATAGATAGATAGATAGATTCTGAAAGCATTTAAGTTTACTTTAGATACATGCTCGTTCTCACATTTTGTGTGGTGAAAAGTCCATTATTAAGCAGCTGAAAAAGACAGGATCCAATTCCTAATAAAATGAAACTTTTCTCTTTCATCTGCAGCATTTATTCTCACCACACAAAATCTGGCAATGTTTGCATGTAATTATCTCCAGTATTAATAGAAATAATAGAGGTAAATCCCCAGACCAGGAAGCAAATCCAAAATTATTAACCTGCACTTTCTGTTGTACCCATGCAACTAGAGAAAATTCCATGATTTCAGATTTTGTTATTCTTCTGATTTGGAATGGAAACATAATTATAATTTCCTGATTAATTAAATTTTCAAAAAAGAAAATTAATTTCTGGTCAATCAAAATATTTTGTTTAAATAAAATGAAAGTGTTTCATTCCGGTTTTGACTTTTTAAAAATTTTCTATTCTATTGCCATTTATAATAGAATATAAAATATTGAAATGAAAAATCATTTTGAAATTAAAAATCAAGATGTTCTGTTCTAATAAGGTTGAAACAGAATGTTTTGCCGTTATTCAAATGCTTCATTTCATTTTTTTCTATATGAAATGTTGATGAAATTAATGCATTCCCAAGGAAAGTCTCAGTTTTGATAAAACAGCATTTTCAGCCAGCATACCAATTAGTTGGAAAAATATCAACCAGCTACTTGTATAAACTTAATATTGCATAGTCGTTAAGACTAAATTTTGCTTTAAATCTCTTGTACTTGTAGATCCTGGGCCTGCTCCTGCACCTATTAAACTCAGTGACAAAGATGAACACTTTTAAATAAATAGGAGCAGGATCTGGTCCCCTACATTCATGTGGGGCCTGAGTCTCCATTGCTGTGAAATTTGTGTAGTTGTTTACACCAGAGCTGACTGGGTGTAAAATGTGCCCATTCCAATCTGGCAGCATTTTACACCCACTTTGCACCCACTGTGTACTGAGGTAAATGACCCCACGTGGCGCAAAACAATGGTGAATCAGGGCTGACACACATAAATGAGTATGAATTGAAAATAAACATGGAACTTAAGGCTTAGCTCAAGCTCCATACTAGCAACTGTGTGTAACATAAGGTTAGCTTTTGGCATGCTAGAAGCTTCTTTGTTGCTCCATGAATAAAGACTGAAGACATGTAAAGAAAGGTTACACGATGAATGCTTAGGCTCTGATCCTGCACTGAGCCCTAAATGGGAGGACCCCTGTGCCCACAAGAGCCTTACTTAAGTCAGAGGCTCTGCGTGTTCTGTTCTGTTTTATTCTATAAAGGTTGTTGTGCCACGCTCATCACCATAGTATTTGAGTGCCTTCCGGTCATGCATTAAGTGGCGTTACTAACTTCTGTGGACATGACGACACACCCAAGCAGAGCTCATTGCAGGTTCAGGGTCTAAGTTAAAGCTGAAAAGTGAATACAAGAACAACATATTACCACACTCACTGTTCCCAGTGTTAGAGTTTTTTTAAAGCTGTATTTCAGACCCAATTCCTTATGCCAGAGTATTTAGCAGTTAACTGGTAACACAGCTGGAAAACTGAAAGCCTTTCTCAAACGCCATTTCTAACCCCAGGAAATAGTTTTAAAACTATCTAAATCCAATTTAGATTAATTCTGATTAAATTATTTGATATATTTATGAAAATCCATTGT